CTTCATCTTTTGCCAATATTCTATCAAATCTTGCTACACTCGATTCTCTTATTTTATTTGTGTTATCCAAAGTTCTACAAAGTGAAGACTGTAGAAAGTGTGTATATATTTTTATTTAATGGCGATAGAAATATTAAAATGAGCTATAATTATTTCTTAAATAGAATAATTATGGAAAAAAAGAAAAATAATAAATAAATATACACTTAAGAATATTATTACCATATCATATCTATAATGGATCATGCACAGTATAAATAAAAAGGTATAAAATTTAAGAAAAGTAATTATCGCTCTTTTTCCCATCATGAAAAATCTCTTTATTGTTATTATTTATTTATTAATAAAAATGTTAATTATATATTATTTGAGTAAATTTAATTAGATTAAATATATTACAATATAAATTTCATTTATATTAAAAGTAATTAAGAAAAATATACTATATCCAAATTATGGATATATGTAAAATACAACTATAAATATAATCTATTAAGGAACCTTTATTATTATGTCAGGAAATTCAATTAAATTATATGTCAGTTATTATAAAAAATATGTAATTATGAAAAAAAAAAATTGTTATTATTTTGATTATGCGAGCTATTTTGTAAATAATGATATGCAATGTATGTAAAAGATATGCATACTAAAAAATTTTGTTATAGAGGATAGATCTACAATTTTTAACATTTATAAGAATGAATCCAAAATGATGTGACTTATGTTTTGGAAGAAATAATAATTATTTTAAAATAAATATATAATTATAATATATACAATTTACATTGCGTATATAATTTATACAACAGTACTCATTCAAAACGCTTAATATTTATTGTTTATTTTTATTCGACACATTATAGAAAATTAAATCACAATAAATACATAAAATATGCAAATACAAATGGTATTTATACAAGAACAATATAATATTATATCTACAATTCGAAATTCAAAAATAATTTTTTTTTTTTATTTGGAAATGTATTTTACGACTATTTAACAAAGGATTACGTATATGTAAATATAATATTTTATATCCATCACTCATAAAATAAAATCAGTAGGTTAATATTTTAAATAAAAGAATTATATTAACAAATTCATTATTCATACATTCCACTTATATTTAAGCAAACCAATACTTTGTATAGAGATAATTAATTATAGATGCTAAGAAGTATACCTATTTATAATATACAAAAATTAATAACTATTATTTAACATATACTGTAATTTTCCATTTATAGAAAGTGTGCATTTTACAAACATTAATAGGCATGTGTTGAATTTTTCCATAAAAAGAATTATTCAAAAAAAATATTCATTAACAGAAATATATAGTAAAGTGAGAATATGAAATATCAATGTATTTCAATAATTTTAATATAAAAAAAAGTCATTTACATAAAATTTTTTCTTTGTGCCTGAATAAATAATATTTATAAAAATTCTGCTATATGCTACTAAATATTTTCAAAAGCGCAAAAAAGTATATCATATATTTAAAAATATTAATATTTAAATGATAAAAAATATAAAAAATATGCAAACAATTATAATTAAAATGATAATTACTAATGAAAAAAATATATGTATATTAACAACTTATTTAAATTGATTATTTATATAATAACTTAAATATTTTTTAAAATACTTCATGAAATATTTTGCATATTTTATGTTAATTTCATATTATTTCTAACCAAACGATTGCACCTTTTATTAAATTACCAACAGTTTCATATATATACAATTTTTTTATAAGATAAATTAGGAAATTTATCACAAAAATTATATTAATATTTGTATTAACGTATATACTAATATATATTCGGGTTGTTTACTTCGCATTTTTTTTTATTTTATAATCCCTTATTAAATTTGTATTCAAAATATGTATACATCATTTTTCTATTTATGTATTATGTCATATGAAATATTAAAACATAAGTGAATGATGTCTTTTATAAGTATTATATTCTTTCTTTTTGATTATATACATATAGAATCAATATAATTTTTTCTTGAAGTTAATTATCATTATTATTTTCTTAATTCATGCTTTTTATAAGCATCCATTACAAAGAATTAATCTTTATATTCCAAAATATTTCAATTATTAGAGTAATATTAATAAAATGAATACGCTTATACAATATTTGTGTATATGTAAACTATCTTTTATTTAGGAATTTATGTGAAATAATGTATATATTCCTGTGAAATTAAAATTGAATAAATTTTCATATAATATTATGAGGGCATATAAATTTTAAATATATATGTGATAAATTCATTCTTCCATTTTCTGCATTCCGCACTAATATTTTTTCAATTAATGTCTACATTGAATGATTTTATATATGAATTACTTAATTACATAATTATCAATAATAAACTAGATTAACATATATTTATATCAATTTACGCGTGATGTATCAACAGTGATTATGTAAAAAATATTATATCGTAATGTAATTCTATATTATTTTGCTTAAATGTCGAAAATATATCTATCTAAATAATGCATTTTAATAGTTGTTTAATAGAAAAAAATAATCTTAATTTGAATTTATTGGTTATCTCGAATCGAAATATATATATATATATTGACGCTACATTGATTTATAATCACACATGTAGAATTATGAGTAAAATAAAAAACAAAAGAAGGATACTATGTTTATTAAAAATGATAATTCAGAGGTTTTTAGAAGGATATATTATCTTTATTAATTTTATGTTTATGTATATTTCAAATAAGATTTGACAAAACTTAGGTTTTACCCTTTCATTATTTCATATGTGTATACTTCAGAGGAATTTCTCAAACATCAGAGTATAAAGAGATTATATAAATTTGAATAATTATAACAATAAACCTTTTCATAAATTATTATACGTATCATACGCTAAATGTTCTAATATTAGAAAAAAATCGATAATGGTAACAAAATTACTAAAGTGTTATCCATAAATAGAAATATCAGTTTTTTTAATTAATTTTTATTGTATGTAATACATACATTAATTTATGATAAAAAAACTAATATTACATACATTTGTAAATATAAATAACAATAATAATGATTTAATTTATTAAAAGATATTTTTATAAAGATGACCATAGACAACTATGTCTATTTGGAAGTCTTCATAAATAAAAATTTTGAATATTATAAATTATGCCAAAATAATTATAATTATTCACAAATTTACAAAAATAAATATAGAAAAAATAAAATATTTGGATAAAAAAATGTTTTTCATTATTATTTGGTATAAATAAGGTGATTACCCTCATTAAATGTTTGACAAATGTTGCTACAAATGCTTCTATATAATTACATTATATTATTTATATCAGGAACTATTAATGTAATAAAAATTAATATTTTGAATATAAGAAGAGAAAAATAAAATACTGGAAATCAGAATTGATGAACATATTTCTAATAATTAAGCTTTTATTATTATACATTTGACATACAATCTGATGTAAAACAAACAAAAATATGAAATAATTTTTTTCAAAAAAAAAAGTCAATTTTAATAAAGCATTATTCATAGGAACATATATACAAATAACAAATACGAAACATTTATGTATTACTGTTTTCTAGTTTTATTATTGCACAAACACTTTTACACATATTTCATGTATTCATTTGTTTTCAAAAAATTTATTTTCAATTTGTTATACTATTATATCAATTTTAATTTGTTACTTTATCATATTTTATTATAATATTTCATTCTATTGTAAATATTATAATAAATTGTATTATATTGTGAAAAGAAACAGCTATTCTGAGGTATTGTAATTACATTTATACATTGCCCATAAGTTATTGTATATAAATATTATGAAGCATAGTATAATAATGGATACTCTCTGTTGAAATTTTTCATTTTATCATATTCTAACATGTACTCAGCAAATTTGTTTTGTTCCTCTTTCTGTTTGTGATCTACATTTCTCTTCTTTAAAAGTGTATCACGTAAATAACGTTCAAATGGTGTAACCTAATAAAAAAATAAGAAGTACCAATATAGATAGTATATCTTCTTATATGTTAACCTGAAAAATAAGTCACTTATACTCAATTCTAGAAGCATTTTACTTTTTAAGTTTAATATAGGTTTACTTTAAGTGAAACAACAAAAATGAAGAATAATCCAAATATTAATATAGTGGCGATTATACTCTTACGAACTAAAAAATTTCCACTTTTTGGAAGCATTCTTTCTTGCAATGCGATATTAGCGGTAGATTTCTCCTGTAGTTCATTATACACAGGTGTTCCTATGCCTTCATCACATTCAAACAAAGGTAATTTTTCAACCTTGGTAGCCTGATAGTATTCATTTAATTCTTTACATAAATTATCTGGACTATTATTATTGCATATTTTTCTATCATTGTATAAATGAATGACTTCATTGAGACATTTCGACAATCCATAAGAGCAGAATATGTTATATATAGG